ATAGCCCTCACCACCTCACCAAGTTAAGGGTAAAACCCTGCCAAACTATCAGGGACGGAGGAAAGAGATCCAAACTCTACTACCATAAGGTATATGGGGCGGCTGCTTGGCTGTTCCGTTCCGGCCCGAGATTGACCCAGGATGGTACCCAGTCAAATCTGCCATGAGAGTCTTAGGGGTGCAACGGGCCCCGTGGGGTTGGAATCCCATCCTATCCACGTCTCCACGAATGGCGAGGATGGAAATCCGTAATAGTTTTTAACAAGCGTAGATCTTATTCTTTATTTTCTCAATTAATATCAAAATATAAATTTTTTTATATATAATTAATTAATATTTAATTATAATAAATAAAATTTTAAAAATTTAAGTATAATTAATTAAAATTTAATGTGATTATCAGATATCGAGAAGTTAATAAAAAAAAAAAAACACTCTTATCACTAGACTAATATGGTGGCTAACAAAACGTGGATTACGTAAATATATATATATATATATATATATTAGTTAAATAATTGACTAACGTGTAACTAGTTGAACCATCAAAATCAAAAAAAAAAAAAAAAAGCACTCTTTTCACCGGACTAATATGGTGGCTTACTTAAATATATATATATATATATATTAGTTAAACAATTGACTAACGTTTAACTAGTTAAACCATCAAAATCAAGAATCAAAGGTAAAAACAGTCTGACCTCTAATTTGGTTTTAATAACAATGCCTAAAACCGCTTGGATAAGAAAACAAAAATAAGTTTAAATAGTTACAAATAAGGACTAAAAAATAAGTTGACCTAAAAAAAAACATTATTAGTGCCACGAGAGCCAATTGATACAAATCTACTTTAATTATTTACCGTAATAAATTTATAAGTTTTAACTTTTTATTTTATATTATAATATTTTTAATTTTTCACCGATACAAATTAAAAAAAATAACCTTCACCTAATATCAGATTATAACGTTTTGTTAGTTCTGTTAGTTGACTGTTAACATCCGTTAGCATTCTGTTATAAAAAATATGAAATTTAAATTCAATTTTATTTGTTAGTTCTATTAACAAAATGCTAATGGATACTAACAGTCAGTTAACAGAATTAACAGTTAACTAACATAACTAACAAAATATTATAATTTGACATTAAATAAAAGTTATTTTTTTTAGTTATAAAAGACTAAAAATATTATAAGTAAATAATTAAAAATAAGTTTTTAATGAGTGAACCTCCGGTTCGTTAGGGGTCGGAACCAATAACATTTATTATTGTTCTATTTCTGTGGTATGTTACAAATAATTTCTGTCTTCGTCCTTTTGTTAGATTCGTATTCGTAATATATCTTTTCTTCCGATTATATTCTACTGGACGCCCAATTACTTATTCGTTTGTCCTAAAAACCATTCATCATTCGTTAAAATTCAATCACTTTTACTCTTTTTTTTTTTTAG